AGAGAGAGAGAGGGAACTCTAGTGGGTAGTGAAGCTCCAAACTGGTGGGTCAGGGAGGTGTGGAGATATCCTTTTGAGGGAGTATGTAACTTAATAATTTTGATCATATCTTGCTGGGCTTAGGGGCTCAATCTGGTATGGATTTAGGGGAATGAGGAAGATTTTTAGGGGCCAATTCAATCAGCTGATTCTGTTGGGTGGAGTCCATAGCTCTCCTAAACGAACTATGGTATACTTTCTTGTCCTTCACTGGTCCACCAATTGTAATAAAGATCTTATTGATGTTATATTGTGGGCTTTATACTATTCTGCCTGTTGCCTGGATTATTGCTTATGTTTTAGAAGGGATCCTAGGGATCTTGCTATAGCTTTCGCATGGGTATTCCAGATGGCTTGGGTATGAATGGGTCATGAGATTGGGTTTGAGTGTGGGAAACACTTCGCATCAATGTTATGATTTTTTCATTGCATTGTCCTGGTTCTAACGTTTCTCCATACAAGATTTAGTATCAGAAAAGGAAAGAAGTTGTATCCTCTCTGCCTAAACCTTTTGTTCTAACTTATTTGGTTTACCAAGTTTTTCTTTTTAATTTTGAATGGATATATTGCCTTTGAATTTCATGCATTCGATTTCAGAAATAATAGGAGTTGTAGAATGAAATTTCTGTGTCTGCTTCTTTGTGGTTGTAATTTGAGCTTTTCTGATTGTCTCTATTTTGCCAAGTTGATGTATTTTCTTAATTTACTTAACCTGCGCTCCTGTAAATGTCTGTTGTTTCATATTTGATATTGATATTACAGATATGGGGCGGATATTGCACGTGGGGTGGCAGAACTTCATGCAGCGGGCATTGTTTGTATGAATTTGAAACCATCCAATCTTCTTTTGGATGCCAGTGATCATGCCGTTGTCTCTGATTTTGGGCTTCCCGAAATTTTGAAGAAACCACTGTGTCGTAAAGCTCGATGCGTCCCAGAGGATGACGCATCAAGATTGCATTCTTGTATGGACTGCACCATGCTTAGTCCACATTATACAGCCCCTGAAGCATGGGAACCAATAAAGAAGTCCTTGAATTTTCTTTGGGACGAAGCCATTGGTATATCTGCTGAGTCGGATGCCTGGAGTTTTGGCTGTACACTTGTGGAGATGTGCACTGGTTCTGTCCCGTATGTAGTTGCATGGCTCTGTCACTCTCTCTCTCTCCATCTCTCTCTATATCTGTGTGTGTGTGTGTGTGGAGAGTACATGGTAGGCTGGAGATTGGCATCTTTTTTTGAGGGTTTAGATGATGAGTCAACCGATCCATTCTTTTCTTGTATCAATTATTACTATGAATTGGAATCTAAGCTTGAAATCTTGTGCAGGTGGGCTGGGCTAGGTTCAGAGGAAATTTATAAGTCAGTTATGAAACTCCGAAGACAGCCTCCTCAATATGCAAGTGTCGTGGGTGTTGGGATCCCCAGAGACCTCTGGAAGATGATTGGTGAATGCCTGCAGTTTAAAGCTTCGAAGAGACCAACTTTCCATGCAATGTTGGCAACTTTTCTTCATCATTTACAAGAGATACCTCGAAGTCCTCCAGCTAGCCCTGATAAGTATGAACTTACGTCTTGTATGTTTCTCAATTTCTTGAGTAGGCCATACTCTCTCTCTCTCTCTCTCTCTATATATATATATATATATATATATATA